ACAGTTACATAATTTTTGTTTATTTCATCTCTTTTTTTTTTTTTTTTTTATATTGTCTAAATTTTTTTGGTTTTTGGTCTAAGTGTTTATTTAAGATATTAGCATTATGTTTCTTAATAATTTTTTTCTAAGTTTTCAGTACAGCTGTAACTTAATTTTAGTGTATTTTTTATTGAAAATAGTACTTTCTTTACTTTCTACTAGGAAAATGTTTAACTATTAATGCAAGGAAATTTTGTCCTAATTTGTTCTTTTACATTTGGTTGTATGGGGGGTGTATACCAAATTATTTTTCTACTTCTGTTTTTTATGTTTTCCATTTTCCTTTTTTATATAAGTTAGTTTTGGGTTTTTGTAACCACTATCTTGTAGAGCTTTATTATAGAAATTAATATGTTCATAGAAAATCTTCTCATTTGCTGAATTTGTACTTATTCTTTTTTCGATAGATAATGATATATGTTTAATTATAGATGGAGGATGATTTGATTTAGGGTGTATATATAAAGGATTGGTATTGGGTTTTTTATAAGATATGTATACATTTTTCATTAAATCTAATGTCATATCAAGGAAGTTAACTTTTTTTTAATTTAGTGCTTACCGTAATTTTTAAGTTCAGGCTTTTAAATTCTTTATATAATATCTGTTGAGGGGTCCACACCTTTTTATATAAATGGACTCACCCAGTGTTTACTTATACTACTGCCAGTGAAGACCCTAGAGAGCAAGACTGAAGAGTCGAGTCGAGCCGAGTCCAGAGTGACAGAGTTAATGGTTGTAGGTAAATCGGAAGAGTCTAGTGAGGTAACAGCGTTGTAAATTGGTCACAGTGAGCGAGCATGTAGACTCAGTAAGAAATCATACAGCGATACTTCAACAATATATATATATATATATATATATATATATATATATATATATATATATATATATATATATATATATTTTTTTTACTCACCCGTATTCCTGAACTACTAAATGCTTTTAGCAGTTTGTATTATTACTTTAATACATTATTTTCCTATATTCATTCCTGGCGTTTGTTATTTATTGATTTCAACTCGGAATCCACAACAATATCTTTCTAATTTTATTGATTTTAAAGTTCGTAGAGTTCTTTATAAACATAAGTACATCGTCTCTGTATAAACCAATGTCAGTTATATTAATTTCACGGTACGCTGTGAGATTGTATAATATAAAAAGACCTCTAAGATCAGAAGACTCAGCTTAGTCTCGTGATCCCATTGTGATGCCATGTGACCATACAACGGCAAGTGGTCATATGAATTTTTCATCCATTGCTCATCTTTATGTATCAGTGCCGATTTTTTCGCATTTACAATAATGCTCTTCTCTTCTTCAGTAATATCCGGTTATTAGTGTGTAACGAAAAAACCATATTTTAAATCAGTTAATTTATAATATTTATGCTCTGTAAATTTACATTAAGCACTGTTTTATAAAAAAATAAAAAATATCAATAAGAACACCGGATCATATATCTTACTGTTCTTTAATTATATATATATATATATATATATATATTGTCCAATCATATTTAAATTCGTTCTGTTTTTATATTGAAGAAAAAATTATAAATATACCATACCTTAAAACTATATTTTCTAATATATATATATATATATATATATATATATATATATTTATATATATTATGAAATACATTAAGTCCTTCAATTATTTTAATATATTTTCTCTTTATATGTTATTTTTATAGATACAATTTATTTACGTAAATGCTCTGTTCTTTACTTAAACCGTATGAATTACATTTACCGGCTTGAATGTTCGAGAAATTTCATTTAAATATTTCGAGCTTCCTTCTCCGACAGGATTCAAATTTGTATTTCTATAAATTTAAATCATTATTTAAACTGACGTGCTGTACTATTCAGCTACGGAGAAGCGTCTGTTTGGTCCGAATTACTGTTTATAAACACAAAATCTTCGACGATTTTTCTCGAGCAATCATTTCTGTTTACGAAACGTATCTTAACGTAAACAATGTGTGTGTGTGTGTGTGTGTGTGTGTGTGTGTGTGTGTGTGTGTGTGTGTGTGTGTGTGTGTGTAGGATGTATAGTATAATAGTATCCGAAACAAAAGTGGAAGTGGGGCGATGAAGTTGGTATTTTTTAGAAATTTAAACGGCAATAAATGAAATTAACTTATCTGGTCCGACGACGAAACACCAAAAAGTGTTTTTTTACACCCACACACTCTCATAGACAAACACAAACACACACAAACGCACAAATTTTTAGAGTCGGGATCCCATACGTCGTGAAGAAAGACGGCACACATATATGAAGAAGAAGATGTCTAGAAAATAAATTATTTGTACGAATATAAAAAAATTGAATAAAAAGCTTAATCGCAGTGGCTTGTCAGTCGTCTTCAATGAAACTTGTATAAAGGAAAGACTGCTACTGAATTAAGCAATATATATATATATATATATATATATATATACAGCAAAAAAAAAATTACCTCAACATAGATAATAGGAATAGACTGAGAGAGATAGATAGGTAGAGAGATAGATATAAACAAACTAGTAAATTCAAGCAGTTCTTATCAGCCTCCAAGTGTATGTCTCGGAGCATTGTTTTAAATTTATTTTCAATGTCAGTCCTCATCTAGTAGACGCCTTGAGAGTGGGTTTGTGTATCTTATCCGGGGGAAGCGGTCTGGGGCTGGAGTTTATTTATGGCCAGAACCTTTGTTGTTTGTGGTTTAATATCAGTTCCTACTATGTGGTATTTCTTATAAAAAGCTCCGGAGTGTCTTTTTCTGGGATTCACAATAAATAGTTTTTGTACTACCTATGTCCAATATTATTAACAAGCAATGGAGGATTTATACTTAAGCCCGTTAACGTTAATGTAAATTAGTTGAGTTATAGATTTACAGATTGTGGGTAATACCCGAGCACACAATGGAATAAATCATGCTGTCCAACACACTTATATGCGTACGTATCTTCATACGTACATATATGTACATTTACATGTCCATACATATATGTCACTATATGTACACATACATCCACACATATATGCACATTGCGTGCTTCTGTAATTTGAAATTTATTTCTATGTCTTCATTTCGTGATTACTTCTCTCCGTTGATTTAAAAGTTTGCATTGATCGTTATATTTTAATATTCTGATTTTTTTCTTCTAAACATAGCTTGCACCTATCCCTAAAACTATTGGGCAAGACCTAAAATTTTCCAATTTATTTGAGGATTCAGATCCTTTTCCTTCAATTCCCAAATTGTTTTCGAAATGGCTGTTTGGTGTTTTAACTTTGGATTGGTGAATGAATGTCTAGGTGTGTTGGATCTCTTTTTACATTCTCCTCCAGAAATGCTTCTTATGTAAATATTATGTTTTGTCGTATTTACTTTTTGGGGTAAAAGTTGCATCTTTGCTCCCTTAGTGGATCTGCAATTTTTTACTACTGGGAAGTTTTCCTTAATTCTCCAATTACAGGTGGTTTCCATGTTAGATTTATTTTTGTTTTTTTTCTCATTTGGAACTTAAATTTTAATTATTAAGAATTAATAATTTGGTAAATATTATCACTGCAGAAGTAGCTAATTTTGACAGTTTGCAGAAGGAGGTGGTGAACCAAGTGATTTTTCTTTTCCTATTTTTACACCTACATTCCCAAGATTTCGGGTATCGATATTACTAATGGTGGTTGAAGCCAAAAAATTTATTCCAAAAATTTTCGTATAGTTCTTTATTCTTATTAAAGATTTTTTTTTTTCATTGGACGATAGTTTACTAATCCTGGTGCAAACGGTAGTGGGTATTTGTCTTATGGGAAACCGTTGGTATAAACCAATGGCTTCTGTTATCAATTATAGACATTTAAGAATATTTCTGAAGATTTCATAGTTTATTTTGTTCAGGTTAAGTTTCAACTGTTTTATGTATATAGCTTCAAGAATTTTTAGTTTATACCAACGGCTTCCCATAATTAATACTCTTCGTTTTCACTCTGGCGTGGTTTTGTGTGACATTACCAGCTGTGGTGCGATTTTCGCTTCCGCGTCTCGTATACATGAGTTTGTCGTTACTTTGAAATTTTTCATGCAACAAAAACAGACTATCATTATTGTTTTGTCCGTGTATTGTTTGATATATTGAAATGCAATTGTCATATTTGATAATGGTTTATGTGAGTCGAAAGCTTAGATAGGATTAAAACATATCAATATGGTGATTTCCTTTCGTCTTTCAATGATAATGTTATTAAGCTTATCAGACAATATGAAAGGAACTTACTTAATTATATATATATATATATATATATATATATATATATATGTGTATGTGTGTGTGTGTATATATATATATAAATATATATATATATATATATATATTTTTATTTGGTGCCTGTTGGAATTTTAAATGAGTCCACTGAGCTACTGAAAACAGAAAGTGTTTGTTCTTCATTATACATATACATATATGTGTGTGTGTGTGTGTGTGTGTGTGTGTGTGCGTATGTGCATATATATTGCTTAAAAACATAAATTTACCTCTCAAAACCGTAATGATTTTTACTGCCTATAACAGTTTCAACAAATATCTCCCTAAAAATAAATGAAATGACACTTTCTGATTCTGTTTTATACATCATTTATGAGAACTGTCATAGATTATTCGCCAAGTATAAGTTTCTCAAGAATCGTAGAGAAATACTCCGTGCAACTAAATTATGAGGCAATGAAATAATTGGTAAATAGAAACAACTCCCGTCTCGTAAAAATGCTAATCTTTTCCGTACATTAGAAAGGGAAACTGTTTTTTTCCAAGTGCACAGATATTTTTGAAAATATGAAACCTGCCTTTATCGATGCAAATTTAATTGTAGACAATCGAGTCAACGAACCTATTTTGAATTTTCGATGAGGCTGGATAAATTTATGAAAGGCATGAAACAACTGCTATGATTGTTCGATGGTTGACGCAAAACACAGTATGTAAGGGACTACACGGAGACAAATACACTAAGGAAACTACTGTTGAGGCAGTAAAAATAATTTTATGAGTTACTGCACTGATTGTCAACCTTCAGCCACCATTCCTTAAATCAGTGTGTGTGTGTGTGTGTGTGTGTGTGTGTGTGATCAACGGATGGGGAAGAAAAAATTAGGTATTTATTATTCGTACAAAATACCATTACCGTTTTTAAAACTAAATGCAAAATAATTTATGTGAGTTAAATGTTTGGGACTACACATGAATTTTGACTAATTTATTCACACACAAAAACCACATTTGAAATATAATAAACACAAAATGTATACCGCTCTTAACACACACACAGGAATATATATATGTGTGTGTGTATGTGTGTGTGTGTGTATGTGTGTGTTTATTACCTATTTGTATCAGTGTATATAGCGATATATGTTGTATTTAAGAATATATTTATGTATGTATGTATGTAATATCTATCAATCTATCTATAATCCATCTCAGTTTTTCATATACCTCCAATTCGATCTGGTAATATTTACTAGTTTGTTTATATCTCTCTATCTCTCTACCTATCTCTCTCTCTCTCTCTCTCTCTCTCTCTCTCAGTCTCTTCCTATTATCTATGTCATTTTCTTTCCATTATCTATCTCAGTCTCTTATTATATATCTGTCTGTCCCAGTCTCTTCCTATTATTTACCTATCTACCCCAGTCTCTTCCTTTCTATCTATCTATCTAGCTATCTAGCTCAGACTCTTCCTAAATGTAACTCATTTTCTTTCCATTATCTATCTCAGTCTCTTCTTATTATATATCTATCTATCGTGTCCTCTTTCTATTATCTATCTCAGTCTCTTCTTATTATATATCTATCTATCGTGTCCTCTTTCTATTATCTATCTCAGTCTCTTCTTATTATATATCTATCTATCGTGTCCTCTTTCTATTATCTATCTCAGTCTCTTCTTATTATATATCTATCTATCGTGTCCTCTTTCTATTATCTATCTCAGTCTCTTTATTATTTATCTATTTCAGTCTTTTCCTATTACCTATCTATCGCAGTCTCTCCCTATTATTTATCTATCACAGTTTCTTCCTATCTATCTATCTATCTATCTATCTATCTATCTATCTATCTATCTATCTATCTCAGACTCTTCTTATTATCTAGCTTTGTCTCTTATTAACTATCAATCACAATATCTTCCTTTTATCTATCTCACTCTTCCTATTATCTATCTATCAGTCTCTTATTATCTATCTATCGTAGTTTCTTCCTATTATCTGCCTATCTAATAATGCTAAAGCTTGACGCCATTATTATTCATTTATTCCCGATTATCTTCCCATCAAATTTTTTTATTGTCTCTTTTCAATTTCTTCTCTTTTTGGCGTTTTTACATTTTAAATTTGCTTTTTCTCATATCCAAATTCAATCCTGTCTCTGTTCACTACGGCCATGTATTTTGCTTGATATTTCAAACTATTTCTGAGTGATCAAGCTGTTTGAAAGTTGACACTCGTTGTAAAACCTTTCTAAGTTGCCTAACTCTTTAAGCTTATCCTACCTTTTAAATCTCTTCACCTTTTCGAACAAATGGGATTTTGTTAAAAGCGCTAAATCTTCTGGGGGACATTGGGAGTAGAAAAAATACGTACAATTAAATCTGTTTGGTGTCCATATTCAACCAAATTAAGGTTTTCAGTTAAGTGGTTTAAAGAGTTTCGGCTCACAAAAAGAGAACAAGGCGAAACACTTAAAAGGGTAATTATTGTAATTGGTAACTATTTTCCTTTCAGGCTGCCCTTTGATATGTCGATTGGCGTTATTTTCTATTCGGCCATTTTGCATATGCGCACATTCGTGAAACATAGCCGACCTTGAAAAGAACTCGATTGCATCCTTTGTAACGTCCACTCTTCTTTAATACTCCCAATTTTTCTACTTTCTTTCTTTCTTTCTTTCTTTCTTTCTTTCTTTCTTTCTTTCTTTCTGTATTTTTCGCAACAAGTAGATTTTATCTCTTTTATGTTGTCACTTCTTTTCTATTTAATATCTTATCAAAATTTTCTTTTCTTCTTCCTTTTCTCTCTCTTCTTCCTCGCATACGTATTTTTCTTTACTTCCCGACACTATCCTTCTTCATTTTTTTTTCCTTTTCTTCACTACTTATTTCTTCGTCCTCATATTCTTCTTTAATTTTTCCTCTTTTTTCTTAATTTCTTTTCATTTTACTTCTTCGTTTAATTCTTTGGCTTTTTTTACTTGCTTCTATCTCCTTTTATTCTGTATTTCATCCCTTTTTTAATTTCTACTCCTGCTTATTAAATTCTCTGTCCTTCCTTCCTTCCTTCCTTACCTTCTTCATTCTCTTCTGCTAGTTCCCTATTTACGCACTTTCTTCTTCTTCTTCTTCTTCTTCTTCTTCTTTCTTTCTTTCTTTCTCTTTTTTCTTTTCTTTTTCCTTTAGTTCATTATTTTTCTTTCAGGTAATTCATTTTATCTTTTCCCCTTCCTCTTTCCTTACTTCATTTTTTTTTCTTCTTTTATTTTTCCTTTCCCCCTCTCCCTTTTCCGAACACATTTTTCACGCATCTTTTCTTCAATCTCATCATTCCTATTTATTATTCCCGCGTTCTCTAGATTTTTTTTTATATTTAGACATTTTCTCATTTGTTAATTTTGCTCAAACCTCCACGAAACAAATTCCCATCTGCTTATCATCTTCCTGCTCCTAAAAAGGTTGATAATTTGCATTCTTATACGTAACACAACTGTAAACGGGGAAGCCCGACTGCTCCAAGGTTCGAATCTTGAAGTAGCCGGGAAACAACAACAAAAAAAAAAAAAAAAAAGAAAAAATGATTCTTTGTCTGATGAGTCTGAATTTTGCTGCTACATTCAAGGTAAAGCAAGAATTTGGCATAAATAATATAAAAGTTGCTCTGTAGCAACTGTCCAGGCTGGTGGTAGTGGTGGAAATGGTATGGGGAGTATTTTCTTGTCATATATTGTGTCCCTTGGTCCCAATAAATGTCGCAGGATACCTGAATATTGTGGAAGATCACGGGTCTCAGTTTATGATTACAGTGCACTTTTCCTCAGTTCATCACTTCCGGTAAGACAATGCACTGTGTCACAAATCAAATGTTTACTTCATAAAACACAGCATTGAGCTTTCTTAAATTGGCCTCTACAGTCATCAGATCTCAATCCCATAGAGCCCAATGGGAATTTTTTTAATATATTATTGTTTACCAAAAGCTACTCAAGACTTACTGAATGTGGTTATTGTAGGGGCGTAAAGGAAGGAGGTAAGAAGTGCATATTATGAGGATATGTAGGATATATAACAGATGCTCTTGGACTTGATGATATTAAGACTGTTCTAGTCAAGGAAACATCTTCTCGAACGTTTGTTCCACAAAATAACAGTTCTGAGTTGAATTTGTTTTGTTTCTTGTTTTTGTTTTTCTCTCCGTTTTTTTTTTTTTTTTTTTTTTTTTTTTTTTTTACATATTCTTATCTATAAGTATTTTTTGCAACATTCATTTCATGGTGTTTTTTGTTTTTTTGTTTTTCCATTATAAACAATTTATCAGAAAATTGAAGTAAAATTGAAATATAAGTTTCACAAACGTTGAAAGCATTTATTTCTCCTTCCGGATATTTATTTCTCCTTCCGGATATTTATTTCTCCTTCCGGATATTTATTTCTCCTTCCGGATATTCTTCTGTTCTTTTCTTTCAGCATCTATTTAAATTCTTTTTCTCTTTTTTTCTTTATTAACTTTTTTTTTCTTATATTTTCACTTTCATTAAGCCCTTCTTTATTCTTTTTACTTTTTCTCTTCATTTTTCTAACATTTTATTTTCTTTCTTGTGCCTTCATTTTTCTTCTATTTTTATTTTTGTGTATTTTCTTTTTCATTTTATTCTTTCTCGCTTTTTTGCCTTGTTCATTCTTTTTATTATTTTTTCTTTTTCTTATGACTTCTTCGTCTTTCTCTTCTTACTTACACGATTTCTTTTTTATCTCTTTTTTTTGACACTTCTTTCTTTCCCCTTCCCTCTCTACTTTTGTACGCGTTCTTTTCTTCTTTTTGATTCTTTTTTCTTCAGGTTCCATTTCATGTTCTCTTTCCTATCTTCATTCATTCGTGAACAGAGAAAGATCGAAAAAAAATCTCTTTTCCTCTCCACAGTTTTCTAATTTTTTACTTAATTACTTCCTTTTCTTACTCTTCCAATCATTTTCCATTCCTCTTCTTCCTTCTTCCAATTTCTCTGCCTCTTATACTTGTTCTACACATCTTTCCTTTAATTTGTAGGCGCCAACCCTCGGCCGGTGGTATTACGGTATATCAAAAGTATGTTCGTTTTAAAACTTACCTAGTGCTCCGTCAAGTTTTTTAAAGCTTATGTAATGCTTTTCCTGGGATGCGCGAGTAATATAACGCTTATCAGGTCCGAAAATAGAATCACCGAACCGAGTTCAAATTCCAGCCGAGTCTATTGCGTTCTCTTTACAATACGCGCTTTGAAAAGCGTAAATCTATTTTTCTAACACTACCAGCTAACTGGGTACATTGGGTTCCCTAACCTTTGATAGAAGCTATACTAGGAGAATAACTTTAAGGAGAATACAACTGGAAAATGAGACTTCTCTGCACTTTCCAACAAATAAGACATGACAATTCACTTATAGAAAAGAATTCTGTGTAGAGCCATGATCACCAACGTCTTGAAAGATCATGGCATTAAAACTGCTCTGAATAATTTCGGTTACTGTTCATCGCTTTCTCTATCTTGCGCTTTAAAGCATCATAATCATATATGCGTCATAATTATAATCATATACATCTTAATCATATCATAATCATAATTATATGTATCATGATCATATGTATATTATAAATATATATGCCTCATAATCGACAAGTGAGAATCATACAATTTTTAAGAGACAAGTCCCCACCCTTAAAATGTTTAAACCACTTTTGGTTGGCATAGTCAAATACTTTTTAATTTCCACCAAATTTTCGAATTTTCTGAACAGCTTCATATGCTTGGAAGCCCAGTTTAAAATAATGACTAAAATCCCGAGAACTCTAGTACTTTTGTCCGCCACAAGAGCATCTGAAACAATATATCTGAATAGTCTTGATAATTATCGTATAATAATATTAATTATATAATTTTCACGCGTATTTTACAAGCTTATAAGTAAAGGTATGTAAAACAACGGAAATACTTTTACTATACCATAAGAACAAATAAATCATTGGCTAATGTACCCCACTATTATGACCTTACTCCACACTAGACTAAACGCAACATTTATGAGTACCTATTGAGCTGACTACTTCCAACTGATACCAACACTTAGTGTTTTAGTTCAGAATTTGAACACTGTTTTTCAAAGAATGCAAGCCCTCCCCACTTAAGGTATTAACGCAGTATAATCTTCTTATTTTATCTTCTAATTATATCCTATTTGACCTTGTGTCATGTCAAATAAAAGCTAAGTCTGAGTACGAGAATTTTCACAGACAACATCAAAATAAGACCAATTCCCATAAAAATAAGCAATAATTCTACTGAAAAATTAACGGAAACAGTAGAAAGGGCAAAAAGAAAAATTAGTAAAATGGAGAAAATGGGCGAATATACAATTGGTGGAGAAAAAAGGTGAATGTAAAGATATAGCATATGATTTATTCGGGCGGTGACGGAGACTTCGACAAGAAAATGGCACCCACAGACGCCATTAAAAAAATGGCGTCAGTGGATTGCGCGCGAAATGGTCGCCAAGGGCAAAAACTGATATTAAATGTACAGCTGAGTATTCAAGCAATGGAAAATTACAGTCTTAATAATGTTACTGGGAGGAATTTCATCGCTACAAAGAATTTTTTCACATTTATGAGTATCGATACAGCTAAACTGTTGCCTCGGTTCACAGTTTTTTTTCTTTTTACAATTTCGACGCTGATATATATATATATATATATATATATATATATATATATATATATATATATATATATAATATTGTGGATTTATTGTTCAATCATCAGCCCTAAGCAAATTGCAGGGTCAAGTATTTTGTGCTGGTTGTGGTAAAACGTTCATGAAGTAAAGAGAGAGACAGGAGATTTAAGCAGAGTTTCTAGAATAATTTACCGTTTAAATATATAATTTGCTTTTAAATTTCAATTTAATTTTTAAAAAATCGAAATAAGTTTAAATATATATTCATTTAATCATTTCGCAGAAAAATATACGCATACACACAACCAAATGCATGCATAATTTTAATGTATATATTCATATATATATGTGTGTGTGTGTGTGTGTGAATAAAAAGACGAGGAAAAACTATTCTTTCCTTTTGTCTTTTTATTAATTTGTCCCTTTTAATTTGATACACTTTAATAATAATTTACACACGCATATTTATATATATAATAGATAGATAGTAATAGAATGAGAATATATACTTAGAAATAGAATGAGAATAGACAGATAAATATACCGAGACACGCACATAAACATATATGCATATACATATATTGAGAGAAATGTATATAAATGTATGCTTCTGCGTGTGATATATATATATATATATATATATATATATAAGTATAGGTAGATGAAGATATCCATCATAATCATTGGTAATGTGTGTGTGTGTGTGTGTGTTCGCGCGTGCGTGTGTATGTGTTTAATATAGGACATAGAATTCTGACAAAATTTTAAAGAAATTTGACAAATGGAAAACGTTTCATTGAAACTAGATTTGATTACGCGTTTCGCCATTCAAGGCTTCATCAAATCCCTAAACGAAAGAAAGAAATGTTTCAATAAAATGTTTTCCACATGTCACTATATATATATATATATATATATATATATATATATATATATATATATAGAGAGAGAGAGAGAGAGAGAGAGAGAGAGAGAAAGAAAAGAAAGAAAGAAAGAAAGAAAAGAAAGAAAGAAAAGAAAGAGTGTGAGCAATTCCCCCCAAAAGGTGAAAATTATATTTTTAAAAATCACTAACAATTGCAAGATTATTGGTCGAGATTGAAGCGATATCATTTCTCTAATATTTTTTTTCTTTGGTTGCCTTTCACTCCGATATAAAACTCATCGGCTGATGAAGAATTATATTTAAAAGTGCGAGTTTGTACGACCTCACCTTTGATCCCACCCCACACAACGTAATTTACCACAATCCTTTCTTGCCAAAATGATGGTTATATTTAACCACTGGCACTACCAATTTAACTGCGATCCCCTATCGATTGCTTCTTTGCGTAGTCGCTACTCGCAACATGGCACAAGGTTGGGGTGCCGATATTTCCACTGTTGTGGCTCGCACTTACGTTAAGCATTGTTTTGGTCACCACCAATACTATCTTCATCAGTAAAGCCCCGTCCGATCTCGGATCGTCGCCATAAAACTTTTGCAGGAATCGCTATTATATTTATTTTGAACCCACTTGGTCACTACTAATAAACAAAAAGTTCAGTATCTCCTTTGAAAATGACCAGAACATTCCAAAAGCCATGCAAGCACGTCCGCTTTACTTTTTACAAGAATTTATGCTGTGTCTATTGACACAGGTCAAGTGGCAGTAAGTCTCCCAGAATTCCAGAAGGCGAGATACAGAATTCTTGCAAGTCCTTTAATTTATAGCCTCTTATTATTTTTTTTTTCTGAAATAAAGAAATTAAATCAGAAGAAAACGCTTGTCAGAATTTACGTCTTCCCATTCATAATTTCTTCTTGTACTGTTGTCAGGTGGCTGTTGATAGGCAACAAATGACAGCAAACCTTTTCAAAATTCAGATACTGCCTTCGACCCCTTATTATTAGCGCCCGTTTTAAGAAAAAAAGGTAAAAAACAACAATTATGACAGATTATATTTTTGTCAAGATAGGTTTTGTGATTCTTTGCGAATCCTCGTCGCCACTTTTGTGATGTTGGACGGCTTTGCTTGTCACTTTTGCTATGTCAAACGAAATCTCATTATCATTTCCCAAAATTGCTCGTTATATTTGAGACTTCGTAGACGCCGGTACTAGTATTAATAACGCTTTCCAATAATATCCGCACTAGTAATACTTGTTCAAGTAGTAATCGCCAAATGCCAAATAGTATAATAATCAGAAGAGAATCGTAATCCGTATAGTAATAGAGCAGAGAGAGTGAACGTGTAGCAATAGTGGCTAGACAAGAGTGAACAGTAATCTTATAGTCATCACGCTACTTCCTAGTTTGTGATCCTAGGTTTCACACCCTTGCGATCGTCAAACTCACATCAATACAACTACGTATATATATATATATATCATACATATTATATATATATATATATATATATATATATATATATATATATTAAGATTTAAGAATGTACTAATTCAAAAGTAAAGCAGATAATTTTATATAGTGCTGATATTAAAAATAGACCATTGATATTATTTTTATATATAAAAGAATTGTTTAACTGTAATTGTGCATGTCAATCCTTGTTGTCCCTAACTTCAAAGTTTCATGGAAACGTCGACTTTTCAATGTTTTGGTGTTTATAGATATACTTTTGTACCTCGACTTAGCGAAATGGTCTAACGACAGCTATGTCCTATCATTTTATTGTTCAAATTGCTAGATGTAAAAATTATATGATAGCTGTTCTATCTCTTGAAATTATCGCCTGTGTAACTTTTTTCCGACTTCTTTCTTTCTTTTCTCTTAGCTACGATCTTCAAATATTTAAATGCAGCATCAGACGTTTCCTTCTTTTTCCTTGAATCCTAGTCTTATATTTCCTATATATCCTCAACAGTTCCTCAGTTTCTTTCACGCTCAGGAACGTCTTAGTGGCTTTATCGCCTTACGTTGGCCGAAATAATTAATTGATTGATTTATTGATTGATTTGTGTTTTACGGCTTATCAACTGTTCAAGTTATTTAAAGCCAGAAAATGTTTTTAGATTGTACGAATTTTTTTGAGATTTACGAATACATATCCTACTAATTAACCCATAGCTGGGAGAATACGCTGCGGATTCATATCTAATGGTATTTGCGCTTAAGTGAACGTATAGCGAATGATTGTTTTGGTTCAATCTTCCAAATGTTGATATTTAAGTCATACAAACAGATACGTTCGTCTGATTTGAAAATCAGCAATTGT